CAATACTTACAATCCGGGGTGGAGAAATCATCCACACTTCTCGTGGTCAAACAACAGCAACACCCTCCAGCCACCGCGTCCAAACTTCAATCAACCGCAGCCTCGTCCGAACTTCATGAATCAACAACCCCGTCCCAACTTCGTTCCTCGTCCCAACTACCAACAACAGCAGCAACCGCAACAGCAAGCCCAAGAGTCCGGGTCGAACTCGTCGAGCCAAGATGACAAGCTAGACAAGATTCTTCAGTTCATCACCAATCAGGACTCATCTATTAAGCGACTCGAGACGCAAGTGGGTCAGCTTGCCACAAGAGTCGGGAACATGGAGGCTAAGTCAGACAAAGGGAAACTTCCAAGCCAGCCCGAACAAGCAAATGCGATCACTGTGTTGAGGAGTGGGAAAGAAGTGGACAACAAGGTGAGGATGCCCGAGCCTGACGACCCCAAACCAACTGACCAGCCCAAAGAAATCGAGGAGAGCGCGAAGAACACCGAGGCCGATTCGGGAAAACAGGCAGAGAGTTCAGTGCTTCACAAGTCCCCAAACCCGTATAAGCCACGCATCCCTTTTCCGAGTAGACTTCGAGATGAGAAGCAGGAACAGCAGTTTCGGGACCTATACAATATGCTCTCGAAAGTCAATGTCAACTTGCCTCTCTTAGACGTGATCAAGAGTATGCCATCGTACGTCAAATTCTTTAAAGATTTGGTCACAAAGAAGAGGAAGTTCGGAGACGGGGAGAAGGTGATTGTCTATGAAGCTGCAAGTGCTATGCAGCATGATCTTCCGAAGAAGGAACGAGACCCCGGAGGTTTCGTGATAAAGATTGCTTTGGGGATTGGAAAAGAGGCTTCGGGGATGCTCGACCTCGGAGCAGGAATCAACCTCATGCCGTTTTCTATCTTCCAGCGGCTCGGTTTAGGAGATTTGAGACCCACTCGCATGTGCCTTCAGCTCGCAGACCGTTCTATCAGATACCCCAAGGGGGTAGTTGAAGATGTCCTTGTTCGCGTCGGGAGACTCATTGTCCCAGTAGACTTTGTTGTATTAGATGTGGGGGACGTTCAGGAGAATGGGAAGGATCACACCATCCTTCTTGGTAGACCATTCATGGCCACTACCAACACACTCATTGACGTGAGGAATGGGACGTTGAACATGACAGTCTTAGGTGAATCCGTGTCCATTTCCGTCCGGGAAGCCACCTCGGCATCCTTGGTGAACTTTGTGGAGGAGTGTGCTTTTGTAGATGCGAGTAACCCATTCGTGGAAGAGGTAGCCGTTCGAGAACTGGAAGAGAGATTGATGCCCGAACTTGAGGAGGAGGAAGGCCCGGTTATTGAATTGTTGGAAGTTGAAGAGCCGAGGTCGATAACCTCACCAGCACTAGAGTTAAAAGAGTTGCCTCGTCACCTCAAGTATGTCTTCCTGGACAATGAGAAGAAAAAGCCGGTGATAATCTTTGTCGAGCTCAACCGGGAAGAGGAGAAGGAACTGATTGAGGTACTAAGGAAGAACCAGAAGGCCATCGGTTGGAGCCTTGGCGACATAAAGGGAATCAGCCCCTCTACTTGCATGCATCGAATTGTTTTGGAAGAAGGTGCCAAACCATTTCGGGACAGCCAGCGGCGGTTAAACCCGAACATGATGGAGGTAGTAAAGAAAGAGGTGCTGAAACTTTACTCCGAGGGCCTCATTTATCCGGTAGGAGATAGTGAGTGGGTGAGTCCCATTCATGTGGTGCCCAAGAAGGGAGGAATTACAGTGATTGAGAATGAGAGGAAGGAGATGGTTCCTACCCACATTACCACCGGGTGGAGGATGTGCATTGACTACAGGCGACTCAACGTCGTGACCAAGAAGGACCATTTCCCGTTGCCGTTTATTAACCAAATTCTCGACCGACTATCCGGCCACCAGTTCTATTGCTTCTTGGACGGACTCTCGGGCTACTACCAAGTGGCCATAGCTCCGGAGGATCAGCCTAAGACAACTTTCACGTGCCCGTTCGGTACATTCGCCTTCAGACGTATGCCCTTCGGCCTGTGCAATGCACCCGGGACCTTCCAACGGTGCATGTTTTCCATCTTTTCTGATATGCTCGAGGACTGCTTACAGGTATTTATGGATGACTTTTCAATTTTTGGCACTTCATTTTCTAATTGCCTCCATAATCTATCTCGTGTTCTTGAAAGATGCATTGAGTCGAACTTGACTTTAAGTTGGGAGAAGAGTCACTTTATGGTGACTAGTGGTGTTGTGCTAGGCCATGTGGTGTCTAGTCGGGGGATTGAAGTTGACAAAGCTAAAATAGATGTTATTGAAAAACTTCCCCCACCTGTGAATGTGAAAGGTGTTAGGAGTTTCCTAGGGCATGCTGGCTTTTATAGACGATTTATTAAGGACTTTTCAAAAATTAGTCAGCCCTTGTGTCACTTGCTTGCGAATGATGTGCCTTTCGTGTTTGATCAT